AAAGTTAGTAAATAAGAAATAATTTATATATATATATGTCATTAACTAGTATTTTTAGATGGTGATATATCCTATCAAAAACTAAAAAAAAAACATCTGGAACAAATGTTTAATATAAACATTTTAATGTATAAGGAAAAAAAACTAACTAATAATCCTAATATCAAGTTTTTTGGATAATCATGCTACAATTTTTGAGGGAAAAATATATATACGTGTTCATAATTAATATTATTGATGAGAAATTATTAAATGCTAGAATTGCTAGCTAATCTATTGCTAGTTAATTTTATCTACATCTTCAATCATTCAACATTACATATTTATATGGTTGTTGTTAAATGGAATTGTTAGGTGCTGACAACGTATTGAAAACTAATGTGGATGTTGGGAATAAAATTTTATATAAATATTTTAGGATATATAAAATAAAACTAACCAATATATTTAAAACATGTGTTCTGGATAATCCTATAAATAGTTTTCAAAAACTTATATATAAATATATACCTATATATACAGGTATTTTTGGTCAACGTAAAATTTATTAATTTAAACTTTTTAAAGTTGATACAAAAATATATGAAATACGTCCCCTATATATTATTTACGAAGTGATTTTGCCACATGTCATCTGTAAAATCAATTTCACAAAAAAAATGTGACATGGCTTATAGCAAAATACGACATGGCTTATGGCAAAAGATGACATGGACAATTACATTTAATGTTGATTTATATTTTTGGTAAACTCTTTAAATATGGTAATAACGCATACTTACGAATAATTTATATTTAATTTTGATATATATTTATAGTAAAAAATTAAAATATGGTAATAACTCATACATCATCTTTAAAATAAATATATTCAAATATAACATTACAAATTTCAGAATATTATTCTATTTTATTTTTTATATTATTCAGTTTGTATTACTAAAGTTTTCAAAAATTGTTACAATTTTTTAAAAATATAAATTTTTAATCCTAAAATCATTAATTTCTTATATCTACAAATTTTGTAAATATTGTTTAAGCTTAAAATAATTTTCATTGCACACGGTGCAGGAAAGCACCTAGTATTACAATAAATAAAAAACAAATAGAGTAATGAAAATGATTAAAAGAAAATAGAAGATTAGATAGAGTATATTGTAAAGATGATTTTTCTTCTAGGTTTTTCGGTATCAATAAAGTATCAACTCAATGATTTTTTTTGCTAACTTTGAATCTTCGTCACATCATAAACATCCGTTTCTTTGTTGTATTACATTGACTTTATCTCAAAACCCATTTCTTTCCTTCCAACTGTTTTTTTATGGTGGTTTCCATGATTTCAATGATAGTTCAGATTTATCCGTACATCAATACCAAATATATTGTAACGACATATATAATTTAAAAGTTTCAACCACCCTTTGACATCTCTTCATCCTCAAATTTTGAATTTCTATTCCTTGCATTTTTTTAAAAAATTGATCTTCTACTCATGAACTCAACATGTATTATCTTCAACAAATCTGCTAGTTTTTATGGATTCTAAATTCTCCAACCCAACATTTATAGCAATAAATAAGAAATATTTCAATTCAAAATCTTTAAAATCTTGTCAAACTGACATCGCAGTGGAGTTTTTCCACCATGGAGATGGAGGATGGCAGAATGGAACAGCTAGAAAACTGTCTCACAGTGACACCGAACTCGGAATTCACTAGCAATGCAACAGAACTCCATTTAGTAAATACAAAATTACGTATTGTGTAGTGATGCTCCAAACTTGCCATTAGTTATGTTAGAAATGAATGCAGAACACACTACAAGAAAACTCGTCCATTACTAGAACGAGTTTTCCTCATTATTTCCTAGTAAATGACCATTTACTAAGACCTTACGAGGAAACACGGTTCATCGAAACACGTTCATCGTAAAGTCATTTTCCTCGTAAGGTCGAAGCTAATTTACGAGGAAACATTTCCTCATAAGGTCCTCGTAAGGTTTCCTCGTAATGTCATAGTAACCTATTTCCTCGTAAGCTCGTAGTAATACATTACGAGGAACTTACTAGAATAGTTTACGAGGACATTACTTGGAAACCTTTACGAGGATTTTGCTTCGGAATATTTTTTCCCTATTAAAAAAATTAATTATAAATATAAATAATTTTTTTTAAAAAAAAAAACAAATTATAAATAAAAATCAAAAATAAAATATTTTATAAATAACTAAATAATATACAATTAAGTTTTAAAATTCATAATATACAATTAAAAATAAAATTTAAAGAATATCCAGATTACAATGGATACTCAACACCACCAGACTCAAATTCTACACATAATGAAAAATAGAAACCACCACAAATGAATAATTGGATAAAAATCAGAAAAATCACAAATTTCATCACCAAAATTATCATCTAGATGTATGAATGATAAAAAGATACTAAAACAACTTTTACAGCCTTAACCAAAACCAAATATTAATAGAGAGGATAAAACTAAGGGGGTTATTGGGGTAAGAATTCTAAAGGAGTTATTAAATTTTGAGATTTCATTGTTATTGGTTCATGAATTTTCAAAGTCTAAGTAGAATCCATTATTATTCGAGGGAGAACTTTTAAACTCCGCTCAAAATCCTTTGTTATTGGAAAAGTTTAGTTTTAATTGATTTTAAGATTCTATTAAAATCTATGTTATTTGGAATTATTTGTTTTGTTTTCACTCATAAAACTCAACTTTGAGAATATCATCTACACCCATGAATTTTTCAAATCTATGTAATAAAATACACTCACGTACAAAATTGAAAAATGGAATAATACAAATCATAACTTAAAAACCAGAGAATAAATATAAAATATTTTTTAAAAAAAAAAAGTTTCAAAAGGGTTTTTCAGGTTTAAAAGATTAAAAACAATTTGAAAAGAAAATTTTGATTTTTTTATAAAAAATTCAAACTTGAAAATTTATATTTCGAAATTATAAAAATATATATTTTATTATTATTTATATATCTATAAAATAAGGAGTATAATATGTTTTTAGATATTTAATAAAATTATTTTTGGTCATTAATTTGTTTTTCCTTTCTCCCACCACTACTAATTACTTACTTTAAAAGTTAATAACAATCAATAAAATTTTACACACAAGTCATGAAATCTATGTAAAACTATTTGATAAATGTTAAATGTAGTTAACTTCTAAAATCTTCTCAACTATTAGAATCATCAAACTTCACAAAAGTTCATGTTCCAATAACCCCCTAACACTATCGCATTGAAAGCGCTATTATTAACTACTCTCTAAAGTGGAATTCTTCTTTTTTCTCGATTTATTTTTTTAGTGTAAATAAAAATGTAGTGGTTTTCTCTCTCTTTTATGACTTGTGGAAAGAGAAAGCTTTTGGTTCTTTGTATGCCGGTCTCTATTCACCTTCGACTCCCTTGTAACGGGTTGTTGCCTCCGGGAAGTGGTGGCTTTTATAGCACTTGCTTCGCAAGCTTCGTCTCCAGAAAACGGCGGCTTTGTTAGCGTATGTTTTGCCGGCTTTGTTTCTATCGCCTCTCGTTCTGAAACTCCATTTTCTTCCTCTCTCTCTCTCTCTGTGATTAGTTCGACTCATTTTTCGAACTAATCTTTATCATTAAGATGGTTTATGCAGGAAGATCAGAGTTTTTAAATCGATTGAAGACAAAGATTTTTTCCCGAAGTAATGATTCGGTTACGTGTTGGCTTTCTGTGAAGACTGCCATGTTGGTCTTTCACTGATCCTATTTTGCTGGTGGTGGAGTTCTAAATTGAAGTTTTTCGGTGGAGGTGGTGGTGCTCCGTCTTGGCAAGTATCGCTTATCTTACTCTACAGTTTTCCTCTGTTGAGTTGAAGGCCCATAAAATTTTATATATGTGGTATGTTGTTTAGGTCTTCTACATTTTATTGTATCGTGTTGAATCATGTTGAGTCAGGTCTAATAAAATATTTAGTTGACAAAGAAAAAAATGGTAGCTAATGATCCCTTTAGAACATCTTTACCAGGAGTATTTAAGAAGGTTTTTAGGGGGAAAATGGGAAGAAACGTGGCTTCCTATCGTGAAATAAGAGACGTTTATTGTGGGATATTTATACTATTTTATGGGTTTTACGACACATGACGATCCGCGATTAGTTTTTAAAAAAAAAACAGATTAAAATAAACAATTTTTAAAAAACGGTACGGATGGTTTCGGCGATGCTGATGCTCTTAGTGCCCATTAGAATAAAGGGCGAAAAGGACATTTTCACACTATAGGCAGCAATTCCATCCACAAACAAAAAATTCCTGCAGCCAAAAAACAAAGAGACAAAAGTGGCAAACGAGTGGATGTCTTTCACGCTGTTCAGTCGTCTTCTTCGTCCAAACATGTTCAACCAAATCTCAGCTTCACAGTTCACTCTCTACTCTCCACTTTTCTCACGGACCTTTATTCACCAAGATTATTAACATCCAGAGGCGAGAAAGATGAAGGTGATTAAGATGAAGCTTGAGCTTTATTTCATGAAAGAAGAAATGTAGAAGATGAACTTTCTTGTAACTGAATAAGAGTTTGTTACATTTCTTCATCAATCATTTACAACGAGATCTACTATATATAGCTGAACGGTTAAGTAAAAGGAAGCTTAACCAGAACTAACCAAATAACATAATGTAACTAAACCGGGTCATACTAATAAAGATCTATGTCTCTTCTGATGAGATCCTCTTACCTCTCTCAATCTCACTTCCAAGGTCTAAAAACTCCAAACTCAAAACCATCCCATCCAGATTAGTGCGCTTCTCTTCTTTCAGGCAAAACCCATTCGTCAGTTTGGTGTATAAACGCAACCCAACAATGCAAAATCTCACCTTTACCCCTTCAGTAACTGTTAAGAGCTCCTTGATCGACCCAAACGGTGGGGAACTAGTTGAGCTAGTGCTTCCAGAACCTTAGATCAAGCTGAAGAAGGCTGAGTCAGAGGCCATGACGAAAGTGAAGCTGACGAAGATCGATCTTGAGTGGGTACATGTGATCAGCGAAGGTTAGGCTAGTCCTTTGAAAGGGTTCATGAGAGAAGACGAGTATCTTCAGAGTCTACATTTCAATTCTCTAAGGATGAATGATGGGTCTCTTGTCAACATGTCTCTTCCTATTGTTCTTTCTATTGATGATGAGACTAAAGAAAAGATCGGAGTGTCTAAGAATGTTGCTCTTGTTAGCCTTCAAGGAGATATCATCGGTTCCCTGCGAAGGTGGGCATATACATATTTACATATATCTAAATATAACCATAGTGTATAGAATAATTTGATGATGTGATTGATTTATGAGAACTTGTGGTGGTGTCTTTATAAAGATTTTTTTAAAAAAAAAAGAGAAAACTTTTTAAAAAAGTGAAAACTATGCAATTACAACCAGAGTTCGTTAGCTCGGTTTGAGTGACCGTTACAACAAAACCTAAACTCCCTCAGTGACTATTAAGTAGTCATTGTTGAGTCAAAATAAGTATCATTTTTATGATTACAATACAAAATTTATTAATTTTAAATATTTAAATATTTTTTATTAATTGGAAGGTTGTTAGCTTTATATAAATAATGGTATTTTTATTTTAAAAGTATACAAAAGTAAATATATTTTTAATCTGTGTGCACATATCTAAAGCGATAGCCAGTATCATATGTGATGATTTTGGGCCTGCTGGAGTATGCGCGTAGGCCCCAAATCTTTGAAGTAGCATTTTGTGGTGTACATTTTTTTTTTGGAATTAGTTAACAGTTTTACTGTATCTTCTGTTTGTGAAATTGCAGTGTAGAGAAGAAAGAAAGGATAGCTAGAACTTGGGGAACTACTTCTCAAGGACTACCTTATGTCGAAGAACACTCACTCCCTCTGGAAACTGGTTGATCGGTGGAGATTTAGAAGTTTTCAAGCCTATAAAGTACAACGATGGGCTTGATCACTACAGGCTATCTCCTAAACAGCTCAGAAAAGAGTTTGATAACCGCCAAGCGGATGCTGTGTTTGCATTCCAGCTAAGAAACCCTGTGCACAATGGCCATGCTCTTTTGATGAACGATACACGTAAAAGGCTTTTGGAGATGGGTTACAAGAGCCCTATTATGTTGCTTCATCCTTTAGGTGGTTTCACAAAAGCTGATGATGTTCCTCTTGGTGTTAGAATGGAACAACATAGCAAGGTGAAAACTCTCAGCCTTGTCAAATCATTTGACATAAAGATAGATTACTCGTTCAATATTTTCTATATATTTCCATCACCGATGCATTATGCTGGTTTAACAGAAGTTCAATGGCACGCCAAGGCTCTAGGATCAACGCTGGTGCTAATTTCTACATTGTGGGACGTGATCCTGCTGGAATGGGACATCCTACTGAGAAGAGAGATTTGTATGATCCTGATCATGGGAAGAAAGTCTTGAGCATGGCTCCTGGACTTGAGAAACTAAATATCCTTCCATTTAGGGTAAAGCAGAAGTCATTTCTGTCTGTTGATTATTGGAATAAAGCTGCTTAAAATCATAATCATGTGTTCTTTGTTTAATCATTCAGGTTGCAGCTTATGATACAATTGAGAAGAAGATGGCGTTGTTTGATCCATCTCGCGCAAAAGAGTTTCTTTTCATTTCTGGAACAAAGGTAATAATAACAAGGGACATTTTTGAATCTTAAAGACTCTTTAGAAAGGCTCCAATTCACAACGTGAGTTTTTACCGGGGTTTCTTGTGTTTGATCACAGATGAGAACGAAAGCAAGGACAGGAGAGAATCCACCAGATGGGTTTATGTGTCCGAGTGGATGGAATGTTCTTGTCAAATACTATTAGAGTTTGCAAGAAAGAAAGTGATGAATCATCATCTAAACAACAACAAGCCGTTGTTTCATCCTAAAGATAACCATAACTGAAATGTCCTTGATGACTGGCTTTTGTTTCACCAGTTCAGTTCTTCATTTTATGCTTGTTCTTGCTTATGTCGAGTGAGATATTTGTCAATTTGAATGTCAGGTTCATTATAGAGGTTTTACATTCGGCCACCAGAAATTAAAAGGAGCAAAAAGGACTCCGTTGCCGGGACTCGAACCCGGGTCTCTCGGGTGAGAGCCGAGTATCCTAACCAGCTAGACTACAACGGATTTGTGATCACAACGTGAGAGAAAGTATAACAACCATCCATCATTCAAATGGACTGAAAAGCTCAAACTTTGTTCGATGTCGAATTAGACACAACAACAATATCAAGAATAACACTGAAACAACAAACCGTTGTTTGAGTCTAAAGAATCAAATCACCGAATCCTCTTATTTCATTACTTACTGATATATTGATTACTTGTATAGTGCGCAAATATTTTTATTTAAAAAAAAACACAATTAGAACCAAATTCAAATGACTTTTGCTTGTTTTTTCATAAGAAACTCAAAAACTCACAATGAAATATATCAAAAAAACATTACAAGGCTTTATCAAAAAAAAAAAAGACTTTCAGAGATCACTCAGCTCTAGACTGACCAGCACGAGAAGAGAGAATGATACCAACAATAAGACCATATAACGCAAGCGCTTCAGCAAAAATGAGAATCAGAATCATTCCCACAAACAACTTTGGTTGCTGTGCATTCGCTCTACAACACACATAAAATCAAATCACATTATTATTACAAACTCAAAACACACATCTCTAAAATAACATGTTATTTCTCAATTACCTGACACCTGCATCACCGACGATTCCGATAGCCATACCAGCGGAGAGACCAGCGAGACCACAAGCTAAACCGGAAGAGAGATGAGCATAACCGTCGAATAGATAGTAAGATTTTGCCTTAGGGTTGATTCCAGTACTGATGATGACAGCTATGATCAAACCGTAAATACCTAACACACCAGCCATAACAACAGGAACTATCGATTTCATTACAAGCTCTGGTCTCATCACACCCATCGACGCCACGCCGACCCCACTCTTTGCTGTCCCGTACGCTGCTCCCATACCTGGAAAAACAATTGGATTAGATCGGATCGGATGAGAATCAAAACAAGGTGTTGGAGGATTTGAAGGTTACAGGAGAAGACGAGAGCGGCGGCAGCGCCGAGGAAGCCGAAGAAAGGAGCAGTTTCATCGCCGCTGAATCCTGAAGCCATCGCTTTGTCGTGAATTTGTGTGTTTTCGGTGAGATCTGATCGGCAGATAGACAAAAACTATCTGATGATTTGCGACAAAGAGAGAGAAGAAACCAAACTTGTGTGAATAATTATTTGATTGATGTAGTAATTGCTGACGGTTAGTCGGCGTGTAAAATTAAACCGGACCGAAACTAGCTAACTCACCTAAACCGAACCGTACCAAATTTATTATCCCGTATATGCAGTGAGCAACACAGTAACAACGTACAATGTAAAGTCAACGTGCATCAGAGCAGTCCTTAAGAGGAGTATCTGGAGAAAAAATAATTATTAAATCTCATAAAAATTAAGGATTTAATTTTTAATTTTTTTAAATAAAAATTGTTTATTAGTGAATTCTTATTCTATTTGCGCGTCTCCATGACACGTGGTAACCCGCAATTAGTTGATTTTTTTTTTAAATCTAAAAAAAATAATAATAATAATTAAAAAATTAAAAAATACTTTTTTTTAAGCCCGTTGGAGTATGCTCTCAATGCATGGTAATCCTTTGGACAATTTGAAGGTGTTTTTCCTTTTCTTCTCTTTATTTTTTTTAGACGTTTAAATATTATAGTTTACTTAGCTCAGTGTATTATTCATCATATTGTTTGATCTTATATTTTCAGTTGATCTGCATGTATTTTTCTAACAAAAAATAAGGTCTGATCAAATACTTATGATGAAAATTAAGTAAAATCAAGAGTTAACTATTTTTTAGATATTGTAAACTCAAGCGGAGATACACTAGCGATCTCAAAACAGTAATTATTCACAATTTTGCATCGAAAAAGATTAAAACAATTTGTTATGATTGTTGTTGCCTTCTATCTAGCTTTACGATGTGCTAAAATGTAAACAGCTTAATTATGCCGTCGTGCTAACTATTACTGTCTCGACACATATAACTTAAGACACCGTCGATCATGCATGACATATCCTTCAAGAGTTCTGAATCATGTATAAAATAAGATTAACATTCAACACTATTATTTTTGGATAGGTTTAATTATCACAAGACAGCGAAAGTTGTATGTTCTGGTACGGGTGTTGAATTATATAAAGAAGTTAGATCTTTTATTTCTTACTTCCTATAACAAAATCCTATAATTAGAGATTTTAAATATGTACTGGATATTTATGAATAATGTGGATAACGCAAAAATAGGAGGCACACTATTAACAACATACAAATTAAAGAGTCAACTAACTGCATTCATGAATGGAATGTCACCGGTTGATCATTAGATTTGGTGATACGAAAATATAAATGTTAATTCATAAATTTTAAGTTATGAGTCTGTACATGCAATAAGAAAGTAGAAAGCAAGGCCAATAATGATGCAAATAATCTATTTCGACATGCCAATTAGCCAAAATGTATGTACATGGTGTGGAATGGAATACATGTATATTGTAGGAATTATTTAAAAATAAATGAGTTAATGTAAATACCAATATACAAATCTATATATGCATATAATTCAAATTAACTGTCTTAGAAATAGAAAATTGTATGTCTACTAATCAGATTTGTTTGGAAATTTATAGATCTAGTCATGGAATTTATAACTTCCCATCCCTAGAACTTGATAAAAAAAAACATTACATCCCTAGAACAAACACTCTCCCACACTTTAGTTATATACTATATATATATGCATGATCATGGATGTTTTGCATTTGTTTATCAGCTTATATTATGTATTGTTGTTTATTAGAAAACTTGGAATGAACAAAATAATTAACATGCAATGAACCAGGATAAATTTCCCCTGGGATGACTAAAACGGTCTTTGACTTGTAGGTTAATCTATAGTTGCATGTTTGATGTTAGCACAGCATCGTCATCATTAATTCGTCCTTGCCCACCGAACTAAATTATAAGAATATCACTAAATAATGGTAGTTACATTTTTTTTTGCAAAATGGTAGTTACATTTTAAATTAATCAAGGGTAATGTAGCGTCAAATAGTATAAAATGCTCATTTGACCATTACCATATATATATTATTTAAGTTATCTGAAGCTAATCATACCCTGGGAATTATAACGGTATTTGACATCTGATGAAACAAAAGAGGGGAATCATTTTATTTTAAGTAAGAGGGGAAAACATCGACGTTGATTTAGTTTCGGGCGATTTAGTTTCTGGAGATATCTCTCTTTTCTTCCAGCTTATGTATCTTACTCTGTATATCCACCTTTGAATCAATATATATAATCAGATGGAAAAAAACATTCGACGTTGATTAAATAGTCTATAAACTGGCATCGATGTTGACGTTATCCACGAAGTTATCGTGAGACATAGTTTTTACAAATATAATTAAAAGAGGATTTTAAAACAATTAATTAAAACGAAAGTACACCGTCGGACAGATGGTTCAGTTTTATGTGCATGAATCTTTTGCTAAAAATTGACATGAGGTTGTTTACCGATTAACATTTGGTATGTCATTTATAACAAGTAAAATAGCGACGACTCGAATAATTTGCATGCAACAAACCACAAGAAATAGAAGTAAAACGTAACGGACTGTCTTAAATATATTTTTATTTCAAACGTAACGAACTCTTGTATTGTTAATGGTTGTAAAAGTTTGATGTCAACACATCTCCATCATTAATTCGTCCTTGAGATCCCCCGAACCGACTAATCGATAATTAATGGATAATTATGAATAATCCCTCTCGCACAATGTAAATCCAATAATCTAAATTGTTCCTTCCACGAAAACTCATATATAATCTGTATATCCGTCTTAGTGATTAGAAGTGTATGAATGCAAGTATGCAACCATGCTTTATAAAATAGTTTACGTCAAATCAAAGAGAAACGATAAATAATGATGATAATTAACGGAATGGTTCATATGTTTGTTTCCACTAATCTATCAATGGCTACGGGAATATACAGACATCAAAACATGTATAGTGAATACTTTAAAATTAATTGTTTTAAATTGTAATATAGAACATTAAATCATGTAACTATATATATGTTGTTTTATTTTAATGTTAACGACTATTAAGATAGGTTATTTTTTAGCAAAAGAAAAGAAAGAAGATAGGTTATTTTAAAGATGCAGAAAAGGATTGATAATAAATTACAAATACTTCAAGAAAATCAAAAACAAAAAGATTACGAAATCTCACTTAATAATACATTGGACTTTTTCAATACGTTTGAACTAATAAATAAATTAGTATTTTAAAATTACTACATATAATAACATTTGATAATGTCCTAACGACCACTATATATATAAACGAACAAGCCACGATACAATCACACGGTGTGATTCACACCACAACAACAAAAATACAAAGATCAAACAAGAACCACAAAAAATGGCAGAACGAACGGTCTATGCTCTCTTACTAGCCTCACTCCAACTCCTCCTAACATGCCAAGTGTCCTTCGCCGCCGGAGGAAAATGGAAACTCCTCCTCCCAAACGTCGGAATCTCCGCGATGCACATGCAGCTCCTCCGCAACGACCGTGTCGTAATGTTCGACCGAACCAACTTCGGCCCATCGAACATCTCTCTCCCCAACGGTAAGTGCCGTAACAACCCACTAGACGCCGTTTCCAAAATCGACTGCACAGCTCACTCCATCGAATACGACGTCAAATCGAACACCATCCGTCCCTTAACCGTTCAATCCAACACATGGTGCTCCTCCGGTTCGGTTAGACCGGACGGTGTTCTCGTCCAAACCGGTGGAGACCGAGACGGCGAGTTAAAAGCTAGAATATTCTCTCCTTGTAACAACAAACGATGCGACTGGCTCGAGATCAACAACGGGTTAACAAAGAGGAGATGGTACTCTTCTAATCATATTCTCCCCGACGGTAAACAAATAGTTATAGGAGGTCAAGGACAGTTTAACTACGAGTTCTTCCCTAAAACGACATCTCCTAACGTTATCGCGTTACCGTTTTTGGCCGAGACTAATGATAGAGGAGAAGAGAATAATCTTTATCCTTACGTGTTTCTCAACACCGATGGTAGATTATTTATATTCGCTAATAACCGTGCGATATTACTAGACTATGTTAAAAACACGGTGGTGAAAACTTATCCGGCGATCCCCGGTGGTGATCCTAGGAGCTATCCTAGCACTGGCTCAGCCGTGTTGTTACCGTTAAAGAATCTTGAAGCGGTTAGAGTAGATGCGGAGGTTCTGGTGTGTGGAGGTGCACCTAAAGGATCGTTCCTCCTCGCTTTAAGAAGGAGAACTTTCGTGAAGGCGCTTGACACGTGTGCGAGGATCAAGATTAACGACGAGAATCCACAATGGACGGTGGAGAAGATGCCACGTGCTAGAGTCATGGGAGACATGACGCTTTTGCCTAATGGAGATGTTTTGATTATCAACGGTGGTGCTTCTGGCACAGCTGCATGGGAGCTTGGTCGTGAACCGGTTCTTGTACCGGATCTTTACCATCCCGAGAATCCGGTTAACTCGAGATTTGAGTCGCTTAACCCGACTACAATCCCGAGAATGTATCACTCCACGGCGATTCTTCTCCGTGATGGGAAAGTTCTCGTTGGAGGAAGCAACCCTCATGCGTTCTATAACTTCACCAATGTGCTATTCCCGACCGAGTTAAGCTTAGAAGCTTTCTCTCCGGTTTACCTAGAACCGGAGTTTGCGAAACTTCGTCCAAAGATTCTGTCTCCTAAGTCACAAACGAAGATTACATATAGGATGAACTTGAAGCTGAAGTTTAAGGTCACTGGAGAAGTCAAGGGTCCGGTTAAAGTAACGATGGTGTTTCCATCTTTCACGACCCATTCATTTTCGATGAACCAAAGGCTTTTGGTTTTGGATAATGTTAGGTTTAAAAGATCAAAGTCGACGAGCTATGAGGTTCAAGTGAGGACTCCAAGATCGGCGAATATAGCACCACCAGGTTATTATATGATGTTTGTGGTGAATCAAAACATACCAAGCGAAGGTATTTGGGTAAGGCTACAATAAATTCATATATATTCATTCTTGTGTGTATGTTTTCTAAATATAAAAATGATGTCTCGTTATTTATTGAAGGCTTGTAAAGTTTCATTTGGATGAATTGTATTTAATTATTTGCAAACAATTCAAAGGAATTGTATTTGTTGTAATAATAATGTGTGTTCTCTATTTGATGACAATCAATTAATTGGCAACTTAATCACTTTCATGAATCATGTCTGATTATGGTTAGCAAAAAGTATCTTGTCGGTGCATATCATATTTCTCATTGACCTGTATGAAATTTCAGTAGTGCATGAATGAAATCGAAGAAGTACGTAGGCTAAATAGGAACACATGTTCATAAGTACTGCTTAATTAACTTTGTATCAAATAAATGTAAGCACGTTCTTGGTTTATTATATACAACAACGAAGTCCTTCGCTAGATAAGAAAACGACATGGCAGTGAATGGTTAAATAAAGAGGTTGGCCCATTGTTGAAGAGGAAATCGATATTAGTCAACAACAAAGATAAACAAGGAGGAATGGCTGAGAAATTTCTTTATTATATTGAAGTATGAGTACAAAGGCAGTAGTGATTAATTAACAAACAAAAAGTATGTAGATGAATAGGTAGTAGACGAATATTATTGTCAGTTCACAGTTTTTCTTCTTCCTTTTTTCTTAATCATTCAATGTATATTTATTGAATTAAGCTCTTCTCTCTTTGAAGAGTAGGTGTTGACTTATGCAAAGCAAGAGCAGGCTTGCTCAAATGAGTTTACTCTACCTCTCATGTGTTGTTCCATTGTGTATTGTCAAACTTTTCAGGTTGAATTTGTACGTTTGATGGGTTTTCTGATGAACCGGCAATACTTCTCAGAGAACCACGCACCTTTTGTTTGGACTGGACTGACTAAACGGAAGCGTAGGTTCAACCCCAAAACTAATTAACTATTGTAATGTCAACAATTCAATAATTTTTTTTTTTCAAAATGGTGTTGTTGAATTAGGACTCTAATGTAACAGAGTTGGTTGGAATTCGAACTGAAGTTTCTAAGACTCGAATGTCTTATAAGAATCATGTATGGTACAAAAAAAATTATTTCTGCTGAGTATTAGGTATGTTAAATTCAAAGATCATCTGTAATTCTTTTACATCCACCAAAATAGCATGAATTATGTAACAAGCTTCTATTTAGTAGTTAAATAGTAAATACTTTAACTCTATGACATCATGTCAAGGATATGGTAGGATAATTGCATCTACAATACATTATACAGCAAGGAATTATGAATATAAATACCACATTACACAATAGCTCTCTAAACTAGTGAGGTTTCCGAGTATCTCATATCTTTGGCCAAAGGGAATAAAAAAGGCTCTAACGCTTGGTTTTGTATATTTTAAAAAATCATGAAGGTCCAAGAGTACATTACTGAAGGAAATAAGGAAATAAGAAAAGAAAAACAGACAAATATAAACCAAAGAAAAAAAAATAGACAGATATGTTGGTCTAGTGGTAAAGAGGTTCCAGCTAAAACTTCTATTCTGAATTCAAATAGTATTGACCACCTATTAGTTGATTTAATCATCCACATGTACTCGAATGCAAAACTCCATGAGATTAATCTTTGATCTAGAAATTTGTGTGATCTTAACGGTTACGAAAAAAATAATAGAAACTCTATACCTTGTTTACATTTTTTGCTTAGAAAATTTCTAAAAAGATATTTTATTTTAAAATTTACAAAATTCTGTATATAAAATTTGTAGGTATAATATTCCAAAAGCAAAACTTTAAACTTAACTTTAAAACTATTTGTATTATATACTATGGTCTTTATGTTTATCATAACTAGTTCAAATTCATAGAACTTTTATAAATAACTAGTACATATATAAAAATTTACATCAATATTAAATGATAAAATATTACACTAAAACAAAAAATTATTAATATAAACATATAATTAAATAGTAAACTAGAAAAATACCACATTAAGTCTTGTAATTTTGTTGTTGTCTATTTCTAATTTTAACTATTTTAAATCTTATCTTGCTGTTTTTTTTAAAAATATGTGTAAATTTAAATTTATAAAAAAAAATTTGAAATATTTATGAGATAGAAATTTTGAAGGGTTAAAATCATAACCATAAAATATATAAGAATTATAAATATAATGTACAATTGTAAGAATCCAAATGCAAATAAAAATATGAAACTTCAAATTTAAAATTTTGAGTAGTAACACTTTATATTTTAAGCTTAACTACTCAAAAATTCAAATTTAGATTTATAGAGTGTGTTTTGGAGATGTACTTATTAGAAAACTTACATCAAAAAGTCATTAAAAACAAATAATTTTATTTTAGCAACTTTTTTAAAAAAACACAAAACAAAAACAGCAATATGTTTATTCTTGGAAAATCGAAAATCCCGGCAATTAATCCCCTTTTTAATATATCTGTCTTCCCCCAACACTTTACCCTCTCACCCAATTGCTTCTCCCGTAGTCTGTCCTCTCTACTCCCTTTTAAATTTCGTTTGCCTTTAGGGTTTTCCAAATTTGTCTCTCCCCTTCCCTTCAATCCCTTTCTCCTCGCCTCCCAGATCCACTCTCACTAAACTTCACTAACCGTTACTTTCCCGCCACTTCCACAACCGATTCGCCGCGTACCCTTCCGATCCATTCTCAATTCCAAAAAACCAATCCTTTTTAATGGCAGCGTCGTCGTCCTCGTCGGAGAAGAAGAAAGAAGAGAATACTGAGGAGGAGAAGGGAGGTGAGTTGTTGTTCTGTGGCGCGACCTCGTGGGATATCATTGGACGTCGCAAAGGTGGGCTTGATGGTAACTTGCTATCTCCCACTCGGTTGAGGCCACTCGTCGGCGTCAACATTCGTTTCGTCGCCTCTGGTTGCGGTAAAAAAAGCTTTCGTTTTTAATTCTCGATCTGTGATTTGAGTAAGAAAAAGTCGACACTTTTTTTTTTCGAGCACAAAAAAAAAAGTTGAAACCTTTATAAGTTATATCCGACCAAGTTTAAGTCTTTTTGTCTTTTTTGTAGCTTCGTGTCATTGTGTGGCGTTGGATGTTGAAGGTCGTTGCTACACTTGGGGACGTAATGAGGTAATGCTCTGTTTTAATTTGTTTGCTCTGTCTTAGTGTATATATAAGCTGAATGGTTGGTTTCTTGTGTGTTGCAGAAAGGTCAATTAGGTCATGGAGATATGATCCAACGTGATAGGCCAACGGTTGTGTCTGGACTCTCTAAGTGAGTTTTTTTTTTTTTTTTTTTTTTT